AAAAAAAAAAAAGGTTGAAAACCACTGCTCTATAACTTGATCCCACTCAGTGAGGACATTATGTGTCACGGGGAAGACCTTAGGCTGCCAATCAATCACCAAATGTGGCATTCAGACCCTGGAAAGTCCATGCTATCTGGAGAGTAAGGCTCACCATCCAGATGGGAAATGGGACAAACGGCCCACAGTTGGGTATGTGCCGCAGGTCAGAGGAGGAAACAGAGAGAAAGCTAGAAAGGCTTACAAAAGGGTGTCTGCAACAGGCATGGTGGCTTATGCCTATAGCCCTAGCACTCTGGGAGGCCAAGGCAGGTGAATTGCCTGAGCTTACCAGTTCAAGACCTGCCTGAGCTAGAGCGAGGCCTCCTCTCTAAAAATAGCCAGGCATTATGGCAGGTGCCTATAGTCCCAGCTACTAGAGAGGCTGAGGCAAGAGTTTGAGATTGCTGTGAACTGTGACACCATAGCCCTCTAACAAGGGCAACAAAGTGAGACCCTGTCTCCAAAAAAAAAAAAAAAAGTAAAGGGTACCTTTGGGTCTGTGCAGACCCCAAGGCCAGTGAGACATTTATCGAAGCCTGGAAGCACGGAACAAGGCACATTTGGGATTATATGTAATGCTAAATTGGTACCCTCACCTGATGCCTTCCTCTGCTGACCCTTGGCTTGGGACAGTGGTCCCTCACCCCAGGCTGCAAGCCATGCACAATGGAGAGGGCAAGCGTTCCTTTAAAAGTAGCTCACCCCACATCAAGCATCCTGAGGCCTTATCATTAGCAGGGCTGGTGGCCCAGACAGTGCCCAGCCTCCTCCAACCCATCCCTGGACACCAGCCAGGCTGCCTTCCTACCCACCAGCAACACTTGAATGTTTTCTCCATGAGCTGTACTCATCAGGTGCCTCTCTGGCAATCTGCCTAGGACAAGCTCTTCCTTCAATGGTGGTCAGTGGGTCCTCTTCCAGTGGAGACCCAGTTGGAATAACTTCCTGGGTGTGGCACATTCTCATGCTGGGAAGTCCAGGGAAGCAGAATCAGGCCCTTTGGATGGTGGGGGGTGAGAGAGTGGGAAGGTCCACTCTTCTGGAGACTGGCCACCGAGTTAAAGGAACTCTTGCTGATGTCTAACAGTAAGAAACCTAACACTTAGCAAGCACTTTTGCAATCCTAATTCACCTGAGCCTCACAATAACCCTGAAAGCCTAGAGCCCCAATATCTGCTTCATTTTAGAGATGGGGAGAATGAGGCCTGGAGGTGAAGAGATTTGCTCTAGGGGCATGGACCCAAATACAAGGAACAGGACCAACTCAAACCACATCATCTGACTCCCAGGCCAGAGCACCTTCCAACACACCACACTCCTCCAGCCAGAGTCAATGGCTTGGCCAGTGATTGATCAATAGGTTGCTCTGCACAAGTGGTCCTCCAGGTGTGGGACCTACGCCAGCAGCATCAGCATTACCTGAAAACTTGTTAGAAATGCAAATTCTTGGGCATCAACCCTACTGAGTCATAAACTTAGGGGAATGGGCCTGGCAATCTGAGTTTTAATTAGCGCTCCAGGTGCTTCTTTTTTTTTTTTTTTTTTTTTAAGACAGAGCCTCAAGCTGTCACGCTGGGTAGAGTGCCATGGCATCACAGCTCACAGCAACCTCCAATTTCTGGGCTCAAGTGATTCTCCTGCCTCCGCCTCCCAAGTAGCTGGGACCACAGGCACCCACCACAAGGCCCAGCTATTTTTTGGTTGCAGCTGTCATTGTTGTTTGGCGGGCCGGGGCTGGATTTGAACCTGGCAGCTCAGGTGTATGTGGCTGGCGCCTTAGCCACTTAGGCCACAGGCGCTGAGCCCCCAGGTGCTTCTGATGTATGTGAACATTTGAAAACCACTGCTCTACAGAAGAAATGACACCTGGGAGCTTTAAAAAACTCCAGTGCCTAGGGAACATCCCAGACCAATTCTACCAGGGTTTCTGGGGATGGGGCCCAGACCTCAGGTTTGTTTTTTTTTTTTTTTTTTGAGACAGTCTCACTTGCTTACCCTCAGTAGAGTGCTGTGGTGTCTTAGCTCACAGCAACCTCAAACTCTTGGGTTCAAGTGATCCTCTTGCCTCAGCCTCCCAAATAGTTGGGATTACAGGCACCCACTACAACACCTGGCTATTTTTAGAGATGGGGATCTCACTCAGGCTGGTCTTGAACTTGTGAGCTCAGGCAATCCACCCACCTCAGCCTCCCAAGTGCTGGGATTACTAGCATGAGCCACTGCACCTGACCAGACCTCAGGATCTGTTTTTGTTGAGTGCTGTGTTGTCATTGATCACAGCAACCTCAAACTCTTGGACTCAAGACATTCTCTTGCCTCAGCCTCCCAAGTAGCTGGGACTACAGGCGCCTGCCACAACGCCTGGCTATTTTTGTTGTTGCAGTTTGGCTGGGGCCAGGTTTGAACCTGCCATCCTCAGTATATGGGGCTGGCACCCTACCCACTGAGCCACAGGCACTACCCAAGGTTTTCTATTTTTAGTAGAGACCAGGTCTCATTCTTGCTCATGCTGGTCACAATCTCCTGAGCTCAGGTGATCTACCTGCCTTGGCCTCCCAGAGTACTAGGTTTACAGGCATAAGCCACTGCACCTGGCCAGATCTCAGGACTTTTTAAAGCAGATGATGTACAGGTAAAGTAGAAAACTATGATCTACTCTTTCTTCAGCCTCTCAGGGAAAAGAGAATTGACACAGCCAGGGTGGCCTCATCTTTGGCCACATTCAATCAGGTGTCTCTTTCCAAGCCCTAGTCTCCAGTCCTTTCCAGGTTTCTCCAGTAAACATAAGAGCTAGAAAAATCCTCCTGTTCTGAGAAGCTTTCTTGTCCCCCACCATAAATCCCTGAGCCTGGGTGCTCTCCCTCCTCTGGAGTCCCCACCACTTACTTCTGGGGACATGCTAACATCTAGAAAGCACTGCTAGGTGCAGGCACCCTACAAGGTGCAAGAGGCACAGAGTTTGGCCATGAGAAAGCACAGTCCTAACTCTCCCCTTGGCCATCTCCCCCACCTCCCCATTCTCTCCATCTGCTCTCCCTTCTGTTTCCCCCACAGCCTGGCTGAGGCTGACACCCCAGGTAGTCTCCTCCTCCTTGGGCATCCAGAGGATGGAAGCTGCCTGGGGAAGGATCCATCTCCTGAGAGAACCACTTACCTGCCCCATGTCCACAGGCCTTTCCCACTGGGACAACCACTGGCCAAAAGATACCCTCCCTCCTCTGCCTGGGAACAAAATATCAGTTCCCCTCCACCATCCAGCTCCCCACAGCTGCCTGTCCTGGGTCTCCTCTCCACCAGAGGTGCTGAATCATCCCAGCCCTTCTGCAGCCCAGGAAAACGGATAAGCCAGCAGGCACTGGGCGGGGGCAGCATCTTTGGAATGTCAGCCTTTCTGACAGCAAGAAAACAGCCAAGAGCCATTCACACTCGCCTAGTTCCTTACATCAGAAAGAGGAATTGACCTAATAAGCATTTCTCAATTCCTATTCCTGGGCCAAGCTCCCCCACCCCAAGTGCTAAGTTCTTGAAATTGCATTTAGGTTTTTAATAGTGATCTTTATTTAAAAAAAAAAAAAAAAAAAAGCATGATTTGGATTTGGATTTTTCACGTTTAGGAGATGTGAAATCCTTCCTGCTTCCTAGCCATGGCCAGATGTGGAGAAGCAGTCCAGGACAAGTCTGGCAACGCCTGAAGGGCTGTCAGCTAAGAGCCTGTCACTTAACTCTTGTGGCTGCCGGCACTGGAGGAAGCTGTGACAACCCCCTTTATTGATAAAAATATCCCCTCGCTGCCACATTCCTAACTGGCACATCCCAATTTGGTAACAGCTGCAGTAGAGAACCTCGGGGGGGGGGGGGGCCTGCCTATACACCCTCATCCTCTTATCCCCTCCCCCTGTTTCTTTGACCCTCTAGCTCCATAAGCCAGAGATCCAGGCAGGACAGGCCTTGCCCAAGACAGCTTTCTTAATCACTTAGCTCCAGGTAGCCTGATCTTTCTTGGCCTGGGACAATTATGACTTTGCCAAGATATCCTGAGGCAGGCTGGGAGAAGCTGATTAGGAAGAGGTAGGCTCCCCCGTCCTCTGCCCCCAAGCCAGTTCTTCCCCAAAGTATTTCATCTGCTAAAGGCATATAGTGATACTCTATTTTCAGTGGACAGGCTCTCTGATCGCCTCACCCCAGAACACAAACAGCATCTACAAGGAAAAGCCACCTTTCCTCAGCTTCACCTGCAGCTTCATTGACTCTTATTTAACACGAACTTAGTTGTCCAAATACCAAGTCTGCCTGAAACCAGAATGAGAACAAGAACCTGAAGTGGGAAGATGTGAGGACTATTAGAGGCACAAGGATATCAGAAATGGCAACTAGCAACTTGACGTTACAAGAGAAAGAAAAGCTGAAAAGTACAGTCTGGCAGTACGAAACAGTCTGACAAGTGACTCTGAGCCATCAGGGAAAGATTCAATTTAGGCCAGCACCTTCTGGAGAAGAAGGCAGAGAATATTTAACATCTTTTAGAGAATTTCTACCAAAAATAAGTTTGGGGGGTTATTTGCTAGTGTCTCTTGGTAGAAAGAGCACTGGACTTGTTTCTAGACCTAACTCCTTCATTCACCCTGAGATGCTGCAGTCACTCTGCCACCCTGAGCCTCAGTGTGCTTTTCTGCAAAATGTAACATGATCACTCTCATGAGACTACTCTGACCATCATAAGGGAGATATATGTAAGGGCGTGAAAGAAGTATGAGTGCCCTGGCCTAGCGTGATGGCTCACACCTATAATCCAAATACTTAAAGAGGTTGAGGAAGGAGGATCACTTTTGAGGCCAGGAGTCTGAGATCAGCCTAGGCAGGTTAGCTAGGTGGTGTTGTTGAGTGCCTGTACTCCCATCTACTTGGGAGACTGAGGCAGGAAGATCATTTGAGTCCAGAAGTTTGAGGTTGCAGTGAGCTATGATGCCACTATACTCTAGCCCAGGTGACAGAGCAATAAACTGTCTCTTAAAAAAAAAAATACATTATGTTTGAGTGCTAATTATTATTTCTACTACCACTGATAAATAGAGCAGGCTTCAATTTTCTGGAACGTTCACTCATAGGGAAACTTGCCCAGGGAAAGGAAGAGACACACACGCTAGATGCACACACAGTTCAAAGAGCCTCTCTCGGCCAGGCGAGGTGGCTCACACCTGTAATCCCAGCACTCTGGGAGGCCAAGGTGAGTGGATAGCTTGAGCTCATGAGTTCAAGACCAGCCTAAGCAAAAAGCAAGATCTCATCTCTACTAAAACTAGAAAAACTAAGGTAAGAGGATCGCTTAAGCCCAAGAGTTGGAGATTGCTATGCTATGATGACATGGCACTCTACCCAGTGACTGTCTCAAAAAAAAGGCTCAATGGCTCGGCACTTGTGGCTCAAGTGGCTAAGGCGCCAGCCACATACACTTGAGCTGGGGGGTTCGAATCCAGCCCGGGCCCGCCAAACAACAATGACGACTGCAATAACAACAACAAAAAAATAGCCAGACGTTGTGGCAGGCACCTGTGGTCTCAGCTACTTGGGAGGCGGAGGCAGGAGACTCGCTTGAGCCCAGGAGTTGAAGGTTGCTGTGAGCTGTGATGTGACAGCACTCTACCCAGGGGGAAAGCTTGAGGCTCTGTCTCAAAAAAAAAAAAGGCTCAATGCCTGTAGCTCAGTGGTAAGGACATACACCAGGGCTGGGGGGTTCAAACCTGGCCTGGGCCTGCTAAAAACAATGACAACTACAAAAAAAAAAAAGCCAGCCATTGTGGTGGGTGCCTATAGTCCCCACTACTTGGGAGGCTGAGGCAAGAAAATTGCTTGAGCCCAAGAGTTTGAGGTTGCTATGAGCTGTGACACCACATCACTCTACCAAGGGCAACGTAGTGAAACTCTGTCTCAAAAAAAAAAAAAGAGGCTCAGCGCCTGTGGCTCAAGCAGCTAAGACGCCAGCTACATACACCTAAGGTGGCGGGTTCGAATCCAGCCCGGACCCGCCAAACAACAATAATGGCTTCAACCAAAAAATAGCCAGGCGTTGTGGCGGGCGCCTGTGGTCCCAGCTACTTGGGAGGCTGAGGCAGGAGACTCGCTTGAGCCCAGGAGTTGGAGGTTGCTGTGAGCAGTGAAGCCATGGCACTCTACTCAGGGTGATAGCTTGAGGCTCTGTCTCAAAAAGAAAAAAAAAGAGCCTCTCTCATTCAGGAACCCTAGATTTGCCTCACATGCAAACAGAGACCCAGAGAAGATGAAGCATTGGCCCAGGTAGCACACCATGTCAAAAATAGAGCAGGTCTTCCAGTTCCAATCTCGGGGTCCTCCTGCTGGCTTGGGCTGCTCTGACTTTGCCCCCTGCCCCAGAATCCCCAACCTGCTTGAGGGCCAAACCAGTCCTTACCTCGTTCTCATAGACCAGCAGCTGGGCCTGGCAGAGCTGCAGATATCGGTCTTTCCAGAAACCCAGGAGGCCCCCACTGCTCTTCTTGATCCAGCCAGCCTTGTCTGCCGTCCGTGCTCCTCGAGGCTTCTCACCCACATCCTTTACACCCTGTAAGACAGCACCAGGACATGCCACATGGTCCACAGTCCACACAAGGAATGCCTCCCTGTGCTGAGTACCTAATGAAATCATCCTATGTGAAATTCCCCACAACCTCCAAGGCAGATATTCCTAACCAGATATCAAAAATAGTGACAGTAATAATGGCAGCAGCCACCTTATAGGGGCCACTGTTTTACATTTTACATGCATAGTCTCACTGAACTTACAATGACCCTCCGAGGTGGGAGACTGAAGCTCAGAATGGAGATGACTCGCCGGACTCTCACGTCTAGAGGACAGAGCCAAAATTCAAAGTGGGTCTCTCTGACCTCACATTTTTCCCACTCCACCATTCTGCCTCCATGTTTTCATTCAATCAATCAACAAAGTTGTACTGAGTGCTTACATCAGGAAAGAATAAACATAATAAAAGTAGCACAGTCTCTGCTCTCATAGAGCTCACAGTGGGGGGAAGAGGAGCTGAACAAATAAATGCCCAGACAGAAGCTGTTAGCCCACGTGAAATGCTATACAGAGAACAAACAGCGGGCAGGGAGGGGACAGCTGATTCAGGTTGGGGTGGCCCAGGAAGGCCTCCCAGAAAAGGGCTCAGAAGGACAGGGAATCAGGCAGGTGGAATGGCAATCTGCCTCTCTAACCTGGCACTTCTAGAGAAGGGCACTCTGCAGCCCTGCTTCCTGCTCCAAAGCAGGAGGCTCCTCTGCCCTCCTCCCCACCCTAAGCCAGGACTTTAGGGCAGCTACCACATCTGGGGAGAGTTCCAAGGACTCAACCACAGGCTAGTACAGGAGGTAAATTCAAGTCCTTCTCCCAGACATGAGTAGCCACCCTAGACCCAGAGAGCCAGCCACTGTTATCTTGCACCCTGCAGATTGCCTGCTTAAGTGGCTGGATGCCAGGTACCTGCCCAGTAGATGGGGTTGGGATTAGATTCACTTTTGGGTTCCAGCACCCAGCTCTGTTCTTTTACACATAATGGGTACTCAAGAAATACCTATGATGGCTCGGTGCCTGTGGCTCAA